CTCTCTCTCTCTCTCTCTCTCTCTCTCTCTCTCTCTCTCTCACTCTCTCTCTCTCTCCCTCCCTCTCCCCTCCACCTCCCCCTCTCTCTCCCCTTCCCCTCTCTCCCTCCCTCCCTCGATGCTCTAAGCGCATCGTCGTCATTACGAATTGATATGTGTTCATTTATCGCGTGCGCGGAGGTAGTCGACGGGTCGGCAGTCAAGCATCGACTTGCAAAGCTAAGGAGGTGATAGAGGGGGAGGCGGGACGCAGCGAACACGCGGAGGCACATCCACGATATTCACCTACGACCTCTCTCTCCCTCTTCATCCCCCTCTGCAGTCATATCACGCGTACGATCCCCTCAACCTCACCGAGCACACCGTGTCTACGAGCCCTTACTCCTCCTCTCGGGGGTCCTGTTTCGGGAACACATCCGATTAGACTTGCGGTCTCCTCGCGCAACCCGAAAATATTTTTAATTGTCGAAGGCGCTTTTTTTCTTATCGAAAAATAAAATTTAACATGTTAAGATTGTCGCGTATCGACCCGTCGCTGTAGCGCCCCTCAGCGGGAATAATTTCCACTTGATAAATATGCTAATGAGCAGCGATGAGTCAATGGCATGGTCATCGAGTGTATAGTGGTGTCTCTCGGGCGAAGGTTTTTGGAGACGTGGCCATGGGCGTGTGTGTGACGACGAAGCTGTTAAGGTCATGTTTGCGCTTGCATTGATCAAAATATGCTAAGCGGCGTCGGCGGTCGTGCAGCCTGCTGATTGTCGTCTGCTGCTGCTGTTGCTGCTACTAGTACTGTTGCTGCTGGTGGTGGTTGCGGTGTTGGTAATGGTGGTGGTGGGGGTCGGGTGGTGGTTGTGTTGGTGGTGGCGGTGCTGCTGCTGCTGCTGCTGCTGCTATTGTTGCTGTTGCTGCTGTTGTTGCTGGTGGTGGTGGTGGTGATGCTGCTGCTGCTGCTGCTGTTGTTGTTGTTGTTGTTGTTGTTGTCGCTGCTGCTGTTGCTGGTGCTGCTGTTGTTGTTGTTGTTGCTGCTGCTGCTGCTGCTGCTACTGCTACTGCTGTTACAGTCGATAAAAGGGCAGGTAACGGCTATATATATATATATATACCTGCGTATACATATATTTAGGCTGATATGTAATAGGTTTCAAACAAGCTAACGACGCTCCATGGCGCTCATTCATGGTTGCTGCTCACATTTCCCCGGTGTGTGAGCGCTAATTCATTTACCGTGAATGGCTTTCCTGCCCACGTCATCATTGCCATCGCCACACCGCCTCGCCGATCATAATTTAATTCCGCCAGTGTTCACGTTAGCATGTAATTTGTCCGCCTCCTCCCCTCCACTCCCCTACCCCTCCACCCCGCGCTCATCTCGCAATTACTCATGTAAGCTGCACTCGATACTGCGGCGATGCATACATGATTTGCGCAATCGTTTTTCACGTCTCCGGCAGGCAGCAAAGTGCTTCGCCAGTTTTCTGCGTGTTTTGTCAATTATTCACTATATTGATGAAAGCGTATTCGATTGCGCGGCGTCGCCGGAGCCGCTGGGCGGCGTTCGGCGTTGTCGCAATCTCTAAAAAACTCGTCTCTTTTTAAAACGTTCAATTTTTTTTCCGATCACCTAACATGAGCAATTCACACATGAGCTTACTCGACTCGTAGTCGCGTATTGCTTTAGCCGTCTGCCGATAGATGGCGCGCGTAACGATTCATAACGACGAACAAACGTAAACCACTTCACACACACACACACACACACACGCATAGATTCATGCGCGCACGCGCACGTGAGCACACATGTACGCACGCACGCACGCACCCACATACGCACGCACATGAAAAGAGAAAGTAAGGAGGTAGAAAAGACGAGAGAGAGAGAGAGAGAGAGAGAGATGATGAGAGAAGAGAGAAATAGCGAAGGGAAGCGCTAGCCGAGCGAGATAGAGAGAGACCTGAGAGAGAAGAGAGAGGGGGGGGGGATGTGTATACGTTCGTGCGTGCGTGCATGCGTGCGACGGACACACGGAGCATATAGTTTTGCTATACACTGGGGGATCATTTGTTATCGCTCGAAGCAGTCGCTCGCTCGATACACGCTCATATAAAGCTACACGTCATACATCTGCCGATTTAATACTGGGACCACAGACCCGACTACTATAATAATGCACGTATCCACGATGCATCGCACAACGACCATTGCTTATCAAAAAATATATATATTTCTGTAAGTATGTACGTATATATTATCTATATATATATATATATATATATATATATACGTACAATTCTCGCTCAATTATCGTCTACTTTCGGTATGAATTGCTGCGTGAGCGCGTACCAACGAAATGCAAAGAGGAGATCTGGAGGGGTGATTTAGCTCGCCGCAGCACGCTCACGCGCGCTCACACGGGGCACCTATAACACACGCGAATTCACTAGCGACATCGGGGTGGGAGTGGGGGACCTTGGGCGCTTGCTTGGCTTGTGGCTCGCACGCGTGACACGACGGAGGAAGTGGGGACGGTGGGTGTGACACGCTACGCAACGACGACGCACGCACGCACGCACGCACAGGCGCACGCACGTACGGACGCACACACGCACGGACGCACGCACGCACGCACGTATACACTAAGGCGCATCTAGCATGAAGTACGGTCACGAACGACACGCGGTGGGTGACTGGATCGGCGGGTAGGTGGGTCGCTGGTTCGGTGCTTAGACCTGTGGGTTGGTAGGTCGGTGGGTGGGCGATTCGGCAGGTGGGTGGTTCAGTGGGTGGGTCGGCTGCACACGTTATAAGCAACAGCGCCACGCATCGCACCGTGTAATGCAGACGACATCGAACGAAGACGCGCAAATGTCGCTGTGCGTCGTTAAGCGATACACGCGTACGTAGCCGCGCACGAACGCGCGCACATACACACACACACACGCGCGAAGACGCGCAAATGTCGCTGTGCGTCGTTAAGCGATACACGCGTACGTAGCCGCGCACGAACGCGCGCACATACACACACAACACGTACACACTCACGCACGCGCGCGCACGCACACTCCCGCTCGAGACATGCGCCAACACGCACGCACACGCGCACGCACGCCGTGACCGCGCGCCGCTCTCACCATATCCGTGCCGTCACCCGCCCGCGCGTGCCTTATCCGTGACGTCACCCGCCCGCGCGCGCCTTATCCGTGACGTCACCCGCCAACGTCACCCTCCGACGTCACCACCGGCGGCGCGCCGACGACGTACCTACGATCGTCGCGGCTCCAGCTTGTGCGACAGCTGCGTGAGGCGTCGCTGGTTGTCGATGACCTTCAGGTTGCGTATGTAGGTGCGCACGTCGGTCGTGTTCTTCAGCGACGACGGCTGCTCGATGCGAAACGGCTTGCTGCGGCAGTACTGTATCGTGCGTATTGTCTGAGCGATCATGTGCATCTTCTCGAAGTTGATCAGGGCCTCGAAGTAGGTCTTATTGCCCTCGTGCGTAAAGGTCATGTCCTTCATGAGCAGCGGCATGAAAGGCACGATCGGCGGCGACATCTTGGCGACGGCGAGCCGGTAGACGCGGTGGTTGCGCGACGGGTCCATGAGCGCCTCGAATTCGGCGAACATCTTCTTGAACTTGCCGGGAAGTTTCTCCCAGGTCTGCGACAGCCGCGAGATGGCGATGTTGCTGAGACCCATGACGATGGCGAAGAACGAGTTGAGGTCCTGGTACTCCTTGCAGTGCGCGGCCACCTTGATGTATTTGCGCAGCAGCTGCACGCGCTTGCTGACCGTCGGCGTCAGACAGAGCTCGGTGACGACCCAGTATTGCACCTCGTTGAAGCGTCGCAGGAACACATCCAGATTGGACATGATCTTGCCGAATTTGTCGCGTCCGAAGACGTGGTAGATCAGTTCGAACTTGTGCACGCACGTGAACAGGTCCCAGTCGAAGACGGCAAGCTGGTAGGCGATGTCGCGCGAGTTCATCAACTCGAGCTGCGAGCATGTGCTCGTACTCGGTCCGTCCTGCTCCGGGAGAGGCGTCAGAGAGTCGAGATGCTCTCGCGGGGCGATGAAGAGACGTCCGTTGACGCTCAACCCCGTCGTCACGCTCACCTCCTCCTCTTTGAAGACGACTCGCTCGCCCGTGGACTTCACCTCGACGAGCTGGAGGTCCTCTCCGAGGCAGAGCTTCTCGCGGGCGACGTGTACGATCTGTCCGGCCGTCGCGTCGACTCGCATCTTCAGCGTGCTGTACGTGTGGTCGGCGCAGTACACCTTAAATATGTTGTAGTCGGCGCTCTTGTACGTCTGATGCGCGGCGCTCTTGTCCTCCTTCGTCTTCTTGATCGACGTGCCCGGCATGCCGCGCGATCGTCGGCTCGACTTGTCCTCCTGCGCCTTGTCGTTGATGCCATTGATGATGCCGTTGAGGACGGTGAGCTGTTCCCGCAGCAGCGTATACGATTGACAGTCGACGAGCACGGAGTGGTAGAGCTCCTCGAGGAAGGCGCGTATCGTCTGGTCCTCCTTGAAGGCGTCTCCCGCTGTGTTGAACCACTGCTGCACGAACTCGATCACGCGCTTCTTGTTCGCGAGTATCAGAGCTACGGGATCCTCCTGGTTGCCGCCGTCGGTGGCGCCGCCTGCCGTGTCGTCGCCGTGGTTGGCCGTCGTGTGGTAGTGCTGCATGAGCGCTGGACAGAGCACCCCGCTCGGCATGAAGATGACATAGGTGAGGAGGAAGTCTTGCAGGTAGGTGTCCGACTGGTCGTCGGCGGCCGCACCGAGCCTCGTCTCCAGCAGATGCTCCAGCATCTTATCCGGCGTGCCGGCCATCACCGAGTACTTGTAATGCGGCTGCGAACCCCCGCCTCCGCCGCCGCCCCCGCCTCCCCCGCCGCTTCCTCCCTCCTGCGGCAGCACGCCCGCGGCGATCTTCTCCAGTATGAGCACGTCCTGTCCGTGCTCCTTCAGTCGGACGGTGTTCGCTTCGACGTCGCGCAGTATCCGGTTGAAGTCGTCCTTGTCGACGCGCAGGAAGTGGCAGTTGTTCTCGCGCAGGACGATCGAGGCGGCGCGCGGCGCGTCGTTCACCAGCGCCAGCTTCCCGAAATCGTCGCCCTCGTGCAGCGTGCAGACGACGCCCTTACCGTAGATGACGACGTTCACGGAACCTTTGAGGATGATGTACCAACTCTTTCCCTCGTCGCCCTGATTGAATAGCACCTCGCCGGCGTGCGCGTGCGACTCGAAGACGAGAACGCTCGCGAGTTCGCGTTTGACCATCGTCGATAAATGCGAGAGCGCCTTGATGTGAAGCAGTTCTTCGTAGATGATCTCCAGGTCGTCGGCGGTGCGCTCCTGCGGCGTCTTGCGCAGGATCATGCGCAGCATCGAGTCGGGACCGATCTGCGAGAGAAGGTTGAGCGTCTCGGGCAACTCGTCCTCGCTCTCCTTCTTCTCGGCGCTCGTCGGCACTGTGCTGATGCCGAGGTCGTCCTCGCGGAAGCGATAGAAGAGGTACTTGTCCTTGAACTGGTGCTCGTGCGACACGTGCGCGACGACGCCCTCCTCGAGCAGCGCCTGCCACATGCCGACCGCCTGGCCGCGAGAGTGCACCACCGTGCTCTGCTGCAGCAGCCAGTCGACCATGTCGGAGGCGACCATGCAGCGGCGGTAAGTGCGCAGGTGGAACTTGCGATCTCGGATCATCGTCGGCGCGCGCGAGAGCAGCACGGTGCGGAGAACCTTCCCCGCGCGCGACAGTTTCTCCGAGGGTTCCTGCGTGATCGGCAGCGCCGGGTTCACGGAGGCTGCGTGCTCCGGACGCCTCGCGGGAAGCTGAGGCTCTATGTTAAGCTTCTCGAGGCCGAGCTCGGCTAGCGGCCCGCTCAACTGACTCAACACGCCCTCCATGAACTCTCGGTTCTGCTCCCAAAGCAGACGAAAATCCTTCTCCTCGACTCGCAGCAGCTCGCAGTAGTCGCTCGTGACGACGGTGGCGTGTCGAGGACTGTTGTCGAGCACGGATTCCCCGAATGCGATGCCGATGCCGAACGTGCACACGGTGACGGAGTCGTCGGTGTGGCCCGTCTCTGACACGTTCACGTCCAGAGTACCAGCAAGGACGGTGTACCAGTTCGTTCCGAGGTCGCCTTGCCTGTAGAGCACGACGCCCTTCTCTAGATCTTCGTAGTAGCCGTAGTAGCAAATCTGCTGCAACAGCATCGGGTTGAGCTTCTCGAAGGCTTTGACGTTTTTCAGGCGCGTATAGATTATCTCCAGATCTTCGCTGCTGCGGTCCGACGGGCGCTTGTCGAGGCACTGGATCCAGTCTGGCATGCTTGCAAAACGCATCCGGAGGTCGCCTGGCCAGAGCCCCGCGGGCGCTGTCTGTAAACAACGAAGAAGAGTTTGTAAGGTATATATATATGTATATAACACGTTAGGATTGTGAGGTTTATAGGTAGACGCTGGCGTTTACACACACATAAACACGCACGCGCGCGCATACACGCGCAGACACGCGTACGCGCGCACACAGACTGCACACACACGCACACACACATGTACAGACACATACACGCATATATATACACACACAACCGCGCGCAAACACACACACTCACACACACACACACACACACACACACACACACACACACACACACACACACACACACACACATGCAACAAGCACACGCTGGTTTAAAAAGTCGCCGAGTCTCGTAAATCTCTCTAAAACGTCCAGTTGATCTCCACGTGAGAACTGAATGACTTCAGGCGAGTTCTGCTCACACTCACACACACGCGTATACCTGCAAGGCCCGGTTTGAAATTTACAGCTATACGCACTGTAATCCTGAATGTTGAATTCCTGTTTTGAATTGCACACTTTGAGTCGATATATAATGTCGATGGGAGAGAGAGAGAGACAAAGAGAGAGAGAGAGAGAGAGAGAGAGAGAGAAAGAAAGAGAGGAGAGAGAGAAAGGAAGATGAGAGAGAGAGAGAGAGAGAGAGAGCAAGAGAGAAAGAGAGAGAGAAAGAGAGGAGCGAGAGAGGGGGAGAGGAGAGAGAGAGAGAGAGAGATGGCGTGAGGGAGGAAGAGGGAGAACGCATATGCGACGCATATGCGACGCATATATAACGTACATGACACAAATTGAGAGAAAATGCGAATAATGCACCTTGCAGATTGCGATGCGGCCATGCGAGCTAACTGTTGCAGCAATTTCCCGCCTGCTTCTATACTGCTGCTGCTTCTGCTGCCACCGCTGCTGCTGCCGCCACCGCTGCTACTGCTGCTGATGGTGATGATGTCACTGCTACTGCTGCTGCCGCTTCTAATGCTTCTGCTGATGGTGATGATGATGTCACTGCTACCGCCGCTGCCGCCGCTGCTGCTGCTGCTGCTGCTGCAGCTGCTGCTGCTGCTGCTGATGATGATGCTGATGATGATGTTACTGCTACTGCTGCCGCTGTTACTGCTCCTACAGCTGCTACTGCCGTTTCTACTACTAATGCTGCTGTTGCTGTTGCTGTGAGGTGAAACCTCCGTGGCTCCGTGACGGAATCAACACGTGGTCGCTCATGCGCTGCTTTTTGAGTATTCGCAGCAGCCCTCTACGCGCACGCCGCCGCCGCCGCCGCCGCTGCTGCTGCTATTGTCCCTGCGGCGCGTGCGCGTGCGTCCGTCGTCGCTGAGTGCGCGTGCGTGCTGCGATACCGCTCCGCCTCTCTCTCTCTCTCTCTCTCTCTCTCTCTCTCTCTCTCTCTC